CCTGCCTTCCTCCCCTCTCCCCCTCCCCCCCCGCAGTGACGTGGCAGTGGCTGATCCAGAGGCAGGGCGGGGTGGTGACCAGCAGCCTGGACCTGAGCGCCCTGGCCAAGGTGTCGGACGGCTACAGCCAGGGCAGCCTGGCGCAGGCGGTGAAGCTGGTGCTGACCGAGCGGCGGAGGCTGCAGCTGCCCAAGAAGCCCCTCTGGGCCGGGGAGCTCCTGCACATGCTGGCCAGGGCCGACCCCGTCTACCCGGAGGAGCAGGAGCTGCTGCAGGTATCGCCCCTCCCCTCCCTTCCCCTCCCCTCCCGGCCTCCCTTGTGAGGAGCCCCCGGTGGCTGGAGCGCGGCACTGCAGGCCGACTCTGCCTTCCTCCACTGCCGGCAGTTCGATCCTGACCGGCTCAGGCTCGGCTCTGCCTTCCACCGTCCCTCCGTGGTCGCCAAAACGAGGACCCGGATTGTTCGTTTGGGGGGCAAGTAACGCTGACTCTGCGCCCCGCGTTGAGGGGGCTGTAAAAGCCCTGCGGGGTGGTATACGGGCGGTCCTCGACTTACGACCGCGGTTCAACCTTCCGTGGCTAAGCGAGACATTTGTTAATGTGTTTTGTACGACCTTCCTTTCCACCGTCGCTAAGGGGATCCCCGCAGTTGATAAGCGAGTACACCCGGCGGCTAAGTGAAGCTGCCTTCCCCATTGATGGGGGAGGGGGTCGTAAAAGGGGACCACATGACTGCCCCCCCAGGACACGGTCGTGTTGAGTGTCTGAATTTTGACCACATGACCGCGGGGGATCCTGCGACGGTCATAACCGTGAAAGAGGGCCACGAGCTGCATTTTCGGTGCCGCCGTCGTCACTCTGAATGGTCCCTAAACGAAGCCCCCCACCCCACCCCTCAGGGCCCGTCCAGCCTCCCCGTAGCTGAAGGTCCCCCCCTCCCCGGTGTCTTTGAACAGGACTGGTACGAGAAAACTCCGCTGGGCCGGAGGAAGCTGGAGGCGGAGGAGGAGGCGGAGGCGGCGGCCGAGAGCAAGGAGAAGAAGCAGAAGAAGTGAAGCCCCCTTTTGGGGGGAGCTGGAAACGGGGGAGGGGGCGTGGGGGGCCAGTGCTGTGGAGGACAGAGGGGCGTCTGCCTGTGTGTAACACTTAAGAATGACCCTGGCCTGGTGCCCAGGACAAGGAACCCTAACCCTGCCCTTCTCCCTGGCGCTGCGCTGGCTTTGGGGGGGGTGAGGGTGGCTCTTTGGGGGGGTGTCCAAAAACTCAGGGCCCCCTCGAGCAGAGGGGACACAGAGGGGATGGAGGGGGGGTCCTGGGAAGAAAATAATTGCTCTCCACAGATCACAAACAGGCCTGGGGTTCCCCCTCCAGCTCTGCCCGGATTTGGGTGAAAGTGGGGGAGGGCCGTCTATTGGGAAATGGGGAGGGGGAGGCAGGCTGCTAACTAAAGGCAGAGCACGGGGTCTTTGGCTCCACCGATCGGGGTCACCTCCCTCCCCACATCCAGGCAGACGGGACGGAGCAGATCCCGAGGGCCCGTTTTGGTGGGGTGGGGGCACCAGGGAGGGGGGGCGGCCCTTGCGGGGAGCCCACGGACTCAATCCAGCCTCCCCACTGCCCACCAGAGCGAAGTCTGACCCCCCCCAGCTCCTGCACAGGGGTGTGTGGCTGGCGGGAGAGTCGCAGGATCCACTAAACCCCTACCAGGCTACAGGTGGGCAGGACCAGAGACGGCCTAGGCTGGCTCTTCCTTGTGAGACTTGGGGGGTGGCGTGTGGTGCCAAGGGGCGGGGCTAGGGACCCTTCACCGGAGCCCCTTCTAGCTCAGAGCCGGCCCCGAATCCAAGCACCCCTCCCCGTTGGGGGCGTCGGAAGCCTTTCTCTCCACCTGCCCATCAGGCCCCCCGAGGGTGGAGGCCGGGGCCTCGGAAAGCTGCCCAGCCCGTACCCCAGCGTTGCCCTCCGTAGCTGCCCAGCTGTGGGAAGGTGGTGCTGGGCAGCACGGTGCCAGTTTCCCCCTGGGACGAAGCCCCATTGGGAACCTGGAAGGACCGAAGGAAGGCAGGACGCAGCCTTCCCAAAAGAAGCGCCCGTTCTTGGCCTCGGGGCTCTGGATTCTGCCCCTTGTGCCAGGCAGGAGGCTCAGCTAGCCCAGGGATTTGCCTCCGGCCGGCTCCTCCTCACTGGACCCCATTCCCCCTCCGCAGAAACGGGATCCCTGCCCTGGAGTGATGCCACCTCCGGGGCCCAGAGTCCTGCCTTCCCGGTGGCCGTGCCCGCTCCCGGGAAGGAGCCTTCTTGCCCAGATTTTGCCCTGGCACATGGGCAGAGCGCCCAGCCGGCTGCTCCCTTCTCCCCTCCCGTCTGCTCCCCTTCTGATGTTGGGGAGCATCGCTGGGCCCGGAGGAGACCCCAGAAGTGCTGGAAGAAAGGCAGCGACGGGCTGGCTAGTAAATTTCTCTGCTGAAAAAATATCTCCTCTCTCCAAACAAGGGGGGGGAAAGGGTGATAATAATACAGTTGGAAGGGACCTTAGAGGTCATCCAGTCCAACCCCCTGCTCAGGCAGGAAGCCCTTTCAGACGACTGGCTGTCCAGTCTCCCGAAGGGCACCGGACTCGTGTGCCCTTTGGGCATCTCCCTCTTTCGGCGGGCCTGGCGTGTTCCCGTGTCTTTAAAGCCGGGGGGGGGTTGAGGGAGGGGGGACCATTCCCCACGGGTCTCCGTTGGGAAGGGGGAGAACGGGAGAGACTTCCCCGTCTAATTTCACTTAATTAATTGGATTTGGAGACGGCCAGATCCTCAGTGGTGTAACACAAACGACAACGGATGAGGGGAGGGAGGTTAGCCCCCCCCCCGTTTCCACCACAGGGCGGCTCTAGTCAGTTGCTCCACTCCGTAAACCATCATCCCTTTCTTTTCCAAAGAGAGGAAGTCAAGCTGTATTAGCAGCCCACAAGCCGAGCGGAGCAAGTTGACCCTTGCGGTGTCATCAGCCGCACCCTCCGGGAACCGCAGCCCCAATAGGAGTTCCCTCGGGAAGGGGTTCCGGCAGCAAGGGGGGCCAGAGGGGGGCAGCCTTTGGAGACGAGGCTGGGGTGGCATCTGTGGGTCACTCTTAGAGGGAGCTGGGGGGGCAAAAGCAATCTGTGGGGAAGGGTCTGGAGGGTGGCAGCAATCCTGTAGAAACCCCGCAGGGGGGGGGACTTTCAATCCACGCCAGCCAGCATTTCATCCCACTGGCCGGCCGCATTTCCTGGTGGTGGGGGTCCTGTCTGGAGCTTTTTCGGAGAGCCCGGGGGCCACCAGGAAAAATAATAAGCCCCCCCAGTCCCCCAAAGCAGCCTTTTGCCGGGAACTGTTGTCGGAGCACTCGAAGGAAAAAAAAGGGGCAAAGGCTGCGTGTTAGACTTCGGGGCTGTGCGGATGTGTGCGTTGGCATTATCCAGTTTCTGTAGCCTCCGTGATGGTGGGAATCACGCAACTCTCCCCAAAAGAAGCCGGAGACGCTGACGTCAGCTTTGTAGTCGCTTACATCAATAAATACATTTTAACCTTTTTGTGTTTGCGATAATCAGGAACCCGGGAGCATCGTAAAATGAACCTGACAGCACACACACACAGAAGACAAAAAAGGCACCAGGGGGGACGGGGGAGAGAGAATGGAAAGTCCCCCTTTCCACCCACAGCAGCCAAATCACAGCACAGGCTGCCTCGCGCACTCCCCAACCCATCAACCCCAGCTTTTGTGTCTTCCGGGCTGCCACGGTGCCCTTTGCCCTCCCAGCCGCTGAATCGAGCATCCCGCAGCCAGCGCAGCAATTCCAGCCACCCGGGGGGGGGGTCCTTGCAATCCCAAAAGGACACGAAACGATTACAAGCAAATTAAAAACGACAAACGACAAACGCCGAGAGAGGCCAGACAGTTGTCAGCGGGGCCCGAAGGCCTTCCGAGTCCCGGGTGGGGGAATGGCCGTCCGAGGCCCATTCGCGGGGCAGCATCCCTAGAAGGCAGAGCCGGCCCGGAGCGACAGGAAGCAGAGGTAACAATGGAAGATCTGGACCACTTTGCCCCACGTGGGACACCCGGTCCTTGGAGGGCAAAGAGACCCACCCACCGACCCACCTGCGGGGGACGACACCTGCCCGCTTTCCCCGTGGCAATGTACAAAAATGCCTCGGAGCCCCCAAAGCCGCTGCAGCTGCTCGGAGAGGGCACGGGTGCTGCCGGGCCGGCCGCCTTCCGGAGCGCCCGCCCTCTCCGCACAGAACAGCCAGTTGGGAGTGTCTTTTGTGACCACCTGGCCCCGGAAGGCCCGGGCCTCTCTCAGCCGGCGCCAGGGAGGGAGGCCCGGAGAGAGATTCCTGGCGGAGGAGGGACCGCTTGCCTGGAGCAACGGATCCCTTCCTCTTCTGGGGAATTCCCGCCCAGATGGGATCTACACAGCAGCTTTTCAATCGGAGCAGAGCTGGAAGGGACCTCGGAGGTCTTCTAGTCCAGCCCCCCCCCCCCGCTCAAGCAGGAGAACCTAGACCATCTCAAGACAAGGGACGGTCCAGCCTCTTCTTAAAAACCTCCAGGGATGGAGCGCCCACGGTTTCTGGTGGCCAGCAGTTCCGCTGGTCGATTGTCCTCCCTGTCAGGAAGTTTCTCCTTAATTCCAGGCGGCTTCTCTATTGAAAATCTGGCGGCGGCCTGGGATGTGGCCGCTGCCGCAGCATTGGACCGAGTCGTGCCTTTGCGGCCTCTGACCCGGCGCAGATCTCAATTGGCTCCCTGGTTTACCGAGGAGCTAAGAGAGATGAAGCGCCGGAAAAGACGCCTAGAGAGCAGTTGGAGGGCGAGCCAAACCGAATCCGATCGAGCACAGGTAAGGATGCAGGTTAGATCCTACCTAGTGGCGATGAGGGTGGCGAGGTCTACTACTCCACCCTCATTGCGTCATCAGATAATCGCCCGGCCACCCTCTTCAGGGTGACCCGCTCTCTCCTTCAGTTGAGGGAGGGAGGGGATCCCCTGGAGGGGAGGGCCGAGGATTTTGCTCAATATCTGTATGACAAAGTCGCTCGGATTCGAGAAGGCCTTGACTCTGACTGGGTGGCCCCGGGGGAGGAGACGGGAGCAGGTCTTGAGACTGTTATATGGGAGGAGTTTGACTCTGTGGCTCCCGAGGACGTGGACAGGATTCTGGGGAGGCTGAATGCAACCACATGTTTACTGGATCCGTGCCCCTCCTGGCTGGTACTGGCTGCCCGGGAGGGTACACGAGCCTGGCTCCAGGGAATTATAAACGCTTCTTTACGGGAGGGTGTCTTCCCCGTAGCCTTGAAGGAGGCGGTGGTGAGGCCCCTCCTTAAGAAGCCTTCCC